AACAGGTCGCACTCCCTTCCCTCTCCGTCGCCGTCGCCGTCCGATGCCGGAGCGGGCGCGGGCGCCGACGCTGCCAGCTCCTCGTCTTGCTCCTCCTCCTCGCTGCCGACATCTCCCGAGCCGGCGTCCGGCGCTGGCGCCGTTGAGTCGTCGGGGTCATGGTAAGCAGCAGCAGCACGAAGGGGAGAGGGCGCTGACGCTGCCGGCTCCTCGTCTCGCTTCTCCTCCTCGCTGCCAAGATCTCCGGGGCCGGCGTCCGGCGCTGGTGCCGTGGAGTCGTCGTGGTCATGGTAGGCAGCAGCATGATGATGAGGAGGAGGAGGAAGATGAGGACGTGGAGCGGGCTGCTGCTGCAGCCTGGAGAAGTGCTCCCACGGCGGCGGCAGCAGCGCGGGGAAGAAGAAGGGGCGGGAGCCGAGGAGGAGGCCGGCGGAGAAGAGGCAGAGGCAGAGGAGAGGGCCAGGGCGACACAACGCTCGCCGCCAGTCCCCGATCCCGCGCCTCCAGCCCCTGCTTCCCACACGCGGTGAAGCGGCCGCTGGAGTGGGAGCGGCCTTCGGCGGCGAGGAGGCACAGGGCGACATGGCGGGCGGTGGCGCTGGTGCTCCCCAGTGCAACCACTCCGACGATAGCTACAACAGCCGACTTTCTTAAGTACTACTCCCTCTGTCCCATCTAGTGTTAAAAACGCTCTTGTATTATGGGACGGAGGGAGTATGTTTATGCTTAGATATGTCGTGTCGATGATTTATGAAGTTTTGCGTCGTGTTCTCCTGGTGACATCATGAAAGGTTCGCTAGTATTCATCATAAGATAAGATGGAACAATGTGCTCATCAAGACGATCGATGCCAGAACCACGTACGTGTGTGTTGTGCATGCTTTGTAACTTAGGCTCATCAAGATAATTATAAGAACTTGGGGCGAGTCACGCAGAATCAACGGGTCTGCTTGTTCTCATGCTATGTACGAATAAAATCTTTATATATTTTTTTGATAAAAATAAAATCTTTATAATTAATAACTAAAATAAGATAAGGAAGGTCTTCTTTTCCCTAATCCCTAAAAAAATCAAAGCTAGTAAGTATAGTATCGGCTTTATACATCACAGACCTTAAACCAAAATAAGATCAAAGCATCGATCGACCAATCACTGCTGCTACTGGATAAGATCGATCAGCACATACGAATAGACTGACTACCGGACCTAGTCGTCCTCCAACGCGTCGTAATCCTCCTCCTCCGGCGACCACGGCTCCGGCTCGCTGCTCTCGTGCATCCACTGGTCCAGCTCCAAGGCATCATAATCTCCCTCCTCCGGCAGGAGCTGGGCATCCGCCGAGGGCGACGGCGGCGGAGGAGCGACAGCTGCGCCGTCGTTGGGCGGGGTCAAGAACAGCCACCGCAACTCCTCGGGGACCTCCGACGACGGCTTGCCCTTGCGGCCCTCCTGCGTCATCAGCTGATCGTCGTCGAGCGGGGCCAAGAAGCGCAGTCCCCAGAGTTCCTCGGGGACGCCCGGCGACCACACCGGCTCCCGCGTCCACCACTCCATGGCGTCGTAGTCCTCCTGCGCCAGCGGCGACGGATGCTGGTCGTCCGCCGAGAACGGCACCTCCTCCATCGCGAGATCGCGGCGCCGGCACTCGCTGGAGTTGGATGGTTGCTCTCCCGCCGGCAAATTTGATGTTTCGTTGGTTGGCTAATTCGCTCGCGTGGCCGCGTGGGCATGCAGCTGCTGCTTCCGTAGTTTTTTACTACTAGTTAGCGTGCACGTGCGTTGCACGTCTTCACAAATCACAGTATATGTCAGGAAAATGCATAAAAATAGATGTATTTAGAACTAAAATGTGTATAGATAGATCCATTACTTTGACAAGTATTTCTGGACAGAGGAAGAACATTTTTATTGAGTTATATTTGTATAGCTTTTGTTCATCACTATCCTTCTTCTGATTCAAAATGCTAAAATTTGGTCCTAAAGATGCTCATATTTTCTCAATAAAGCAAGCAAATTTTGGCTGTCACTCTGCAATGTATGTACCATTTTACAAGTGGTGAAAGCGAGAAATTATCAGTGAATTTGCAAAGTGTAAAGTTGTCGAAGTCCAAGATATTTGGTGTAGAAGGAAATACAAAATGTTTCATTAAACATAAGTGTTAGTCTAAACAATATGAATGGTAGAAAATGTCCAGCACAGTTAGTCAATATTGTCTGATAAAAGAAATAGTTAGTCAATATTGATCGAAAGTCACGCAAATAAAAAGTCATGAAAATGTCCAACAATATGAGTAATAGAATTTTAATGGATGAGCGGTGTTGTGATGTCGCTCAAGTCGTGTGTTCTTACAGTATTGTTAATAGTATAGCCAACAACCGGCTATATAGGTCGCTGTGCCACATATAGCCAATATTATAGTCAACATGTATAGTGGTAAGTTGCTAAGTAGTACGACTTTATTAATGTATGGCCCATCATACACTCTCACAATATTTCTTGGAGTCCGTGTTGCAGCTGGCTATTAATCTACAACCCGCTTTCCTTCTCTCTCCTTTTCTCTCTCATCCGACTGAGTATAAATATAATTGTTTAATCTTTATAGCTTGCTAACTAGACCTTACTACCTCTCTCTTAGTTTACAAGGCGTGCGCGTGCCCCTAGGTCGTCAATTCGACCAACCTAATACAAGTCATATATTACAAAAAATATATCAATATAAACTTTAGATGTTCTATTTTCAAACCGTATAATTTTTGTGTTATATAGTTTATATTAAGATGATAAAATTGGTAACTTAGGTATACGCGTAGGACTTGTAAACTGAAACGGAGGTAGTATTATACTTGCTCTTAGAAGTGACAGCCATGGCTTAGCTAGGGGGTGGACAGGGTGGTCCATAGCCTATATTTAGGCTAGAAAAAAAATTCTTCCAAATACATAGATTTACATTAAAAAATTCATTGTTGTACCACCCCGACTCACCGAGCTAGCTATGCCACTCACCATTGTGATAATATAGCTGCATAGAGATAAATGATGTTTCATTCGGTCTGTGTACTGAACTACTGATAGGTTGGAAAAGAAGATTAAATCTAGTTCCGATTGAAAGCCGCTTTGCATTATCCTCAAATCATGTTCGAATGGTGATCTAATCCTGCAACTGTTAGCACCAAAAACCATATTCTTAAAGCACATAATATTCGTTACAACTGTTGTTGCCAATATAAACATCTTTCAAAGTTATCAAAATTCTCAAAAGTTCTCTCATTAAGGAGATAAATGCTAATGAAATTTTTTATCAATCCAAGTCATCCATATTGTTGCCTAGCTCAGGGATTTCACCTCCCCGCTCAGCAACTGCACCATCAATAGGCTTGCAATGGGTGTGCTGACGCGAGCAAGGACGTGGTAGACTGGGCTGACAGCGTGACTGTCTTGTCCGGTCAGATCCTAGTTCGCACCATTGTCATGGAATAAATTGACATCAAACATTACAGAGAAGCGATAATTTACATGCATTAAGAAAAGTCATTGTTGATTTTATCATGCAGTGTGGTAGTATATTCAGAGCAATGAGGCCAGCAGCATCATAAATACGGAGTACTAACCAAAATTCACATGAAAGCAATTGCCATGGGATTTCTAAGAAGTGAGTATATGTCTGGAGAGTCAGAAGCATGGGCCAGCGACACCATAGAGTCAGTAGCATGGGGAAGGATGCCCAACACATGACTGAAGAACAAAGTGCAAGGAAGAAAGACGAACAGACTAACAGATGACTGGATCAGCTACCCATGTTGATGTCGCTTCATCGACGGCAAGCAACTGCATGTCTTCGACTGTAGCATTTGCACATAAATCACCCATTGATCTAGGACAATCACTGATAATCGTTCAAAACCGTGCTTTGACTCAACTCCAATATCTAATAATCGTTCTGCAAACAGAAATATCAACAAAAAAACAAAAAAAAATCAATAAATCATGAGATAATAAAAGGTTATGATAAAAAAAGTGAGAACCAATTCATAACATGAATTCATGAAAACTTCACCATTTAGCTACAGCACGAAATTCAAAAACATATTCACTGTTGTGTCCCTGATCAAAATCAGGAATAAGTTTCATTAGATCACAAGATCAAGGTGAGAAGAAACAGTCCTTTTGAAAATTCTAATCCCAGAAATAAAGACCACCTACTTGGTGCATCCATCACTTCCCAGTCCGATAAAATCAACTACAACTTCATACAAAATAGGTTTCTTCACAGAAAGAATCTTCCCTCCGCCCTTGTGTGGACACATGAGAGAAGTTTACAAGCTCATGTGAGCACACATTCAAATTATGTAAAACTAATTTTTCTATTGTATGGATAAAACGGAAAACTTTTGACAAATAACCCAACTCTCAAATCTGCACTGCTCGTCTGGAGACGTAATGATTCAGCATAAGTTTTTTTATCCACAACCGGACAAGAAAAGGTGAAAAAGAACTCCAAAATTTCGGTAATTGGTTACGGTTTTACATTAAAAGCTGAAAACTTGATAAGGGTATTATTCAGAAGGGTAAACATAGCAGTTAGACATCAGTTCTGTAGAAGCTCAAAAGAGTGAGAGGAAGACTAAAAAACACATGTGAGTAGAGAAAGCGAAGACAAAGGAATTGTTTGGAAATAAGGACAATACCTGAAGCAAAAAATGATGGTACAATAGGTGGCACCAAAATGGCTTAAGAAGTATGGAACATTATCATGTTGGTTTCAAATATGCAGATTAGAGATGTATAATACTCTAAATATTCGGATGCTTTATAATATAAAGCGGGGGTAAACCCTTTGTCGGAATACTCTAACTATAGTTGAACATATCTGTCGGGTAGAAAATTCAGAGAACATGGTAATCCCTTACTCAAATGTAACATTGCGCGTGTGCTTAGTCGAAACTCGAAAGTATCTCTTATACCAAGGAAGAATATCTGCACCATATGTCTTCAGGCTAACTTATGACTGGTTGAGATATCTCTTGTGAGGAATCATTCTGGAGAAGCCTGCAACATAAGCGTTATGCCAGTACCCCCAGCGAACTGAAGTCATAGAAATCAACCTTAGTTCGTAGATTTGATTTGGCAGGCGAGGCAGAGCTGGTCGCCAGGGTGGAGATCGCCACAGCGGGCGTCGTCCACGGCGGGGGACATGGCGGCCAAGATGAAAAAGGATCGCTCGATTGACCGCACGGCTGGTCCTGCCCTTGCACGACTGCTCCTGCCGCCTCCCCTTGCGCGTGCAGGTCGGCACCGATTGTGCCCTCGCCGGCGGGCTGCGGCGGACGGGCGCGGCGCTGCCGGAGGAGCGGAGGCATCCCGGCGAGACTGTGCTGGGGAAGGCGCGGCTGGGCGCGCCTCTACCGGAGGTCGCCGCATCCAGCGCCAGGGATGGGTCGGCGCCGCCATCAGATGGGATCATCGGCGGCGGCAGTCCGCGGTCGCGTCCGTGGGGCAGCAGAGGATCTGCGGGGAGCGGCCGAGCGGAGGATCTGCGGGAGGCGTGGGTAGCAGAGGAGGACCAGCGAAGGTCGTGGGTTCGTGCGGGCAGTTTTGTTCAGGATGAAGGAATGGGGAGGATTAGTGGTGCGAGTCGTTTTGCGTTTGTGCGGCTCCTTTTGCTTACTGTGTGATCAGTGGCTTGCTAGTCTCTACTACCTAAAAAAACTGTAGTGTTCCGTCTCCCTTATTACGTCCTGTCGTTTCGTCGAGCTCGCACGTCCCAGCGCGGTATAGCGCGCCACTTTTTTTTACGTGACTTCGTCTGATTATATTTTGTCCATCTTCGATTTTCCCGTGTGACTCCCACCCCCCTAATCCATCGCTACACACACCTCCCTCACATCTCACTTCCTCCCCGACCTAGGGTTCCCACCCCCCGCCCCGCCGCTGCGTCTTCCCTCCGCACGCTCCTCCCCGCGCGTTGCTGCCATGGCCACCATCGCCGTCCGCCTTCCAACCCTATCGCTTGCCGCGATGGGTCATGCCACCGCCCCAATCCCAATCGCCTTCCGCCTTCCTACCCTATCGCTCGCCGCGATGGGTCATGCCGCCGCCCCCATCCCCGTCGCCTTCTGTCGTTCCTAGATCAGGGGCACGCCGATGAGTGACGTGGTGGTGCTGTTGGATCAGAGACCCCGAGGGGTGGCAGTGATGAGAGCGGCCGACAGCCTGCTGGGATAGCGGGACAGGAGGGGCGCGACAGGCCGCAGCGCACGATCTCCATGTTTGACGGTGACAATAGGCAGAAGCACCAATGGCGTGTTTGAGTTCCTGCACTGTTTGACTTCGGTTAAGTACTGACGCATCTGAAGTTGTTTCTTGCTAATGGAAGGAAACACACAGAAAGTTCGGTGTCACCAAGGATTGGTGAAGTGATTGCCAACTCTTGCTTGGAGAAAGGAATCGCCAAAATCATCTTGGACCGAGGGGGTTTCCTCCACCATGGCCGATAGAGAGAATGGGCTTGAGTTTTCTGTTTTCTGTTTTTTTGGCGATATTGCACAATCAATATCCCCTGTTTTCTGTTTGGTTTCATCACTTTGATTTTCTGTTTGTATATTAGTAAATACTTTGTACTTGTATTCCATCCGTTAAATGCTTTGTATATTATAAAGCTTGTAGTCTTTTGAGTTTTCAACATAACAGAGTTATCAAATGATAATGTGTCATAAGTAGAAGAGAAACCATTGACGACTGGAACTGTTTGAGTTTTTCATGCGTCATCAGGAGTACACAGCAGTGGCGGGGACCTAGATATATTCTTCTATCTCTGATGGGTAGTATACAGCCAAGCGATCTCTTGCAGAAAATTATCAGCATATGTAGTGCCTGACCAACAGATCTGTTTCAATGAGGAAACTGCAGGGTGCTCGCTGAGTGGAGATGTTGGTGAAGCCATGATTATCAAGGTGCTGTGAGTGGAGACTTTGAAACGATGGCGGCAGGTGTTGGATGCTGGCAGCTCCATGAGTTTCTTTGTCTACATGTACGTGCATGGCTGCTTGCTACATCTTGTGTCTCCAGATGCAGATAAAGGTAATGGCATGCAGGTTTGATTTACTTGCCATAATTTACTATTATGTTTTGCATTCATGCAGCTAGCTTGCTATCGATCCCTTGCATGATTAAAAAACATTCTTTGTGTTTACCCACCATTCTTCTTCTGTGTTTGTTCCCTAGATACAGAGTTGATGTGATACTCTGATCATGTGATAGAAATTATTGAATGGGAGTTGCCATGTCTGTATTTGATTCCTACAAGTTTCATGTTTGTGAGTCGAAGCTTCATAGCTTGCTATTGATGCTTGTTTGTGACTTCAGATTGTGTGCTCCGCAGCTTGCTGTTGCCGTTGGATATTTGGACTTGGACCCTATTGGAGTTGGATCATACCTTTGATTGTGTGCTTCATAGAGCTTGCTCGGTGCCATATTATTCATGAAGAGGTACAGTCTGCTTACCATGCATTTCTTGAATTGACTAGAGCACATTTTTCTATTTACTCTGGTACTGAAAAATAGTCTTAAATCAAGTCAGTATGTAAGGATGTATGCTTAAACTCACGAATAACATGTATCATCTCAAACATTAACATTTATGTTGCCTTCATAGTCCTTTGATTTACCTCTCCTAACACACCCACATCTGAAATGGTGGCGCTTAATATTTCTATTTCCTCACCTAAATGTGTTTCCAGCAAACCAAATTACTTGTCATTGTTCTTTCTTGCTCAGCATTGTGGTCCGAGTGATTATATCCAGTTTCACCATTGTCCAGTTTACAACATTATGATATTGCAGATAATTAGGCTGATGTTGTCCATAGGATTTTTTGTGCTTCAAATTTTGTTGATCGAAAGCGGAGTAAGGAGCCCATCTTTCATGGAATCATCTACAATGATGCACGACTGGATCGAATTGAAGATCAAATAGATTTCGGCAAGGAAGGACAACTGTTAATTAGGTTTCATTTTAATTAGGCTTCATCTTTTTTGCAGTCAGTTAATTTCAGAAAGTATTACATTCAGATTAGTTGAAGATAATCAAATATCTGAATTCTTATTAGCTGGTGGTTGAGCCATACAAACGTTGTTTTAATTTCTAAAAGCCAAGTCGAGCTTGACTTTAAAAACCAAGGATTATGCAGCCATAATCTGACACTAAAATAATTGAATTACAGAATTGGAAGGCTGGAGAAGTCGGTTGCACAGGGCAGAAAAGAAACAGAATTGGCTTATAGTCGGGGGAAATATATTGGACGAGGGAGGGAAACAGAGGATGGGCGAGCAGGTGTGCTGTGCTGGACACTCGTCAATGCGAGGCGTCACTGATCAACATACTAACACCCTGCTTTAGACTTGGCGTATCCAACTAGATGTGCATGGTCAGAAACTTCAAAGAGTCTGTTGGAGACACCTTCGTGCATATCGGCGACGGCTCATGCGTCCTATCACTTGCGCCGAATTAGAATTTTCTGCTTAATGATACGGCTAGATATTAGTTATTTTTGGATTTGAATTTAATTTGTGTGGAGTTCCTTAATGCAGAATATGACGAGATTAACTTGCTGTTTCGGTTCAGTTTGTAGGCGTCGCTTTCTCATTTGGCATGTGATATACAATGTACTTTATCCATATGGTGACATTTTGATAGTTGTGATGTTACCACTTCTCCATTTAGTATGTCGTATATAATCTATCTATATGATAATTGTTGTCATCTTGATTCTTGGATCCAAATCAAACGACACATGTGACAGCCATGGCGGCCTCGGCCCGTGGTGGCCGAAAGTGCGCGCAACATGAAGGCATGGAGGCGAGGCAGGAGAGTTCGTGGTCATAGTGGTACTGCACTGAGTATAGAGGAGTTCGGTGGATACGGTAATTCTTTCTACATTGTTGTTATTTCTTGATGGTGAATCTAAAAGGATGGCAAAGAAAACCCTACAAATTTGCGTGTGGATGTGGAAGGTTGGATTTGTGATCTAGGTGTGCCATTGATGTCGGTGGCGAAGTTGGATTGGGAAAGAAGAATAACATGAGTGATTTAACGGTAAATAAGAAATCAATAATGCTGCCTGATGTGCATGATGATGTTTCATATGATTGATGTTGAGCCTATACAATATGTGTCACACCCGTTGCAACGCACGGGCAAATAACTAGTGTTAAACATAGAAAGACTATCGACCATTAGATGTTGATGATGGATGGTTGTGATCATTTGGATCTGCCCTTCTCTTCCTTTTATAGTGGTAGTAGATGGCATGTTGGGTAATTAAAGCGTAAAACGCGTTTAGTATGCTGGAGGGATGTAGACCATTAGATTGCAGGTTTCGATGAATAGGATGATCTGGTTCTCCGCCCTTTTTTTCTTTTATAATGGTAGTAGATAGTAGATGAAAGAGAAGAAAATCGATCGGGGAGTCTGCCGGAGTCTGTCCGATTCCAACTCTGATACGGCATATTGATTTATCAACTCTTCAAATATCTGATCAGAAAGCTCATATGCGTCCAGAATTCAGCGGAAACAAAAATCTGAAATTCCGTACTGGTGTCGACAAAACGTCCGAGGTTCGATCGGATTGCAGCCTTGCTTGAGCTAGTTGTAAATTCAACGCCCCATAGTTCGCCTAGGATTCGAACCCGAGTAGTATAAACATAGTTTTAAATAGCCGACGATAGCTTTGCTATAGCTTTGCTATAGCTGTTTGAGGATGTTGACGCTAAATGATTTCATGTACGATTTGCCGAGTTATAGCTGTTTTTAAGGATCGTCGCTAAATGTCATAGCTCGCTATTTAAAACATTGAGTATAAAACGTACTGCAAATGGCAGATCGAGCGAGTCATGGCGATTGCGGCGACCGGGTCCAAACGTATCTGTAGTACAATGCTCGATTCCTCCACACACCAAGTGCAACCGAACGGCACGCCATGGCGCCGGTGGGACGCTACCTTTGGTCCGACCTCGACAGCGAGCTCCTCGCGTCCATCGCCGCGCGCATGTCTCTAAGGGACTACGCCTGCCTCCACAGCGTCTGCGCCGCGTGGCGCTCCGCCCTCACTCCGCCGACGTACCCTCGCCTTCTCTCCCTCTCCCCCGCGGACGACCACGGCCGGCGCACCGCCTCCCTTGTCTGCCTCCCGATGCGACGCCGGTTCCACCTCCACACGGTCTACCCCACGCTCGACGACGGCGACGACGACCGCGATGGGCCCGTAATCAACCGCAGCGTGCGCGTCGTCGGCTCAGGCAACGGCCGCTTTGCCCTCGCCGTCGACCAGAAGCACAAGGACCCCCGGCCCCAGGGCAGCGTCTTTCCTAGCGGCTGGAAGAGGAGGGTCTTCCTCGTCGACCCCCCGCGCCGGCGAGGAGGTCGTGCTCGTCTCCCCGACTCCGACCGAGGACTACGACGAGATGT